TATCATAGTAAAACAAAAAACAGATGTCGTCATCACCGCGACGTATATTGTCTATATCAGTAAAAGTATTCCAGAAGATTATGAAAATGCGTTTTACACTCTACTTTGTAATTTTAAGGACACTAATAAGCTTTAGTTAACATACCTAGAAAAATGTGAATTTTGCTTTTAGTAGAGTTTCATTTTGTACCCCCCGAATTATGTGAAAAGTAACTTCTGGTAACAACCAGAGCTCAAATATTAAATACAAAAGGGATGGGCCGAACGAAAAGGATCCCATATTCCCTCCGAGCCAAATCCCCAGCGATCTCACTATCTCTGTGCCTGCTGTGCCACGAACCCAAAAAAGCGTCACTCTATTTTCTAATAACAGTCCCGAGGTTTCAAGCACACAGCCCCAAAGAGGCTTGGATGTGACTTGAGTCGATCGGAACGTCGCTCTGGTGTATGACAGCACATAGATAGTCCGATTTTTGTATCCCCTTTCTAAGCTTGCTCTCAGTCATATTTCTATTGCATGCATTTCAGTTTGAAACACAAAGTAACACTGATTTGAGCTCGCGCTTATACCTGTGTCGGATTTCGCTCCATAAAAGCTCCAGCTCCGTGTCACGTAGGCAGTTGTCATTTACGTTGTCGAAGCGGCACGACGCCGTGGCAGGGAGTCGAAGATATCGCTATATAAATGTTGTCAAAGGCCCGTTGGTATCTAAGAAACGTGCAACTGCCACCCCCGATTCTTCCAGCCAGCTTTACCCCCACCAGATCCTGTAAACCGAACGTAATGGCCTTTCCTATGTGAAACACATACTGTGACTCATGCAAGACACTGATCTCTAGTGTATCCAACTGAATGAAGGTATCAACCACCTTTTCCATCGCTTTCAATATAAAAGAGGTAAGACTAATTGGACGAAAAGACCTAGAGTGGTTGCTGGGTCGTTTCGGAATAATCGTCACTATGACTGCCCTCCACTATAGTGGAATGTAACCTCAGGCATAACTGTCGTGAAAGATCTCCAACAATTCCTAGGGAATTTGAATTTGGTAATTTTAAAGGCTTGAAAAACTTTCCGTTATGAAAATAAAACGAGAGCACCTTCGGTCATTACTCTGGGCCAAACAGCCCTTGGGTCAATAACCGCACCCGAGCAGTTGTCTACGATTTCCAAGTCAGGAAAGTATGTTGAAGCTATCAGTTTCGTCTTCGATCATAGAGCCATCAGGCCGTTCCATTAGGGCTAGCCCTAATTAGGGCTCTAGTTTTTTGCCAATCTACATCATACCTTTCCATAGGTTTTCTTATCCTGTTTTGTCTTTCTGCGCAAATTTGTAGGCGCTTGCGTCGTAGATGGAAATCCCGTTCTTCCAGCAGTATCTGTGGAAGTAATTTATGCTTTCTAATGGCCCCTTTGGTTCGCCTTAAATGCTGGCCTATGGTGCACTGATCTTTGTTTCCTTTGTTCCTACGGCCTGAGGATGGTAAGCCTTTAAATTCAGGATAAGTTTTTTGGGAGTATCAGAGCTCGGAAACCGAATGTTCACTATGGGTTCATTTTTTATGGCTAACTGACAAACTTTTCGGAAATTTGGATAAAGTGAGTCTCCATTACAGCCAAACTTACGTTTTTCAAAAAGTTTACCCACGCCCTTAAAATTTGAAAAAAGTGTTTAAGAGGCATTTTTATAATCGTTTCACAAAACATTTTGTGGTCGGTTGTCTGCTGACCAAATCAAATATTTTTATACCTATATATGTTTACGAATACGTAGTTTTTACCGACCGTATTATGTAAACAATAGATAGGTTATGTGATGGCAACAAATTTTGCATATCGAGTTTTCGGTGGGAATGCACTTCTCCATAGTAGGGAAGTGTAAATAAACTATTTTTAGCAACCTGTCGGTCCGTCGGTCTGTTGATCTGTCGGTCTGTCGGCCTGTGTGTGCACGCGTGTATCTCAAGTTCTGCTGAACCGATTTTGATGAAATTTTATATGTAAGTTTATTTCCACCATGGCACGGATTGATCAACTTTTGGGATGTATTAGGCCTGGGGAACTGGGATTTACTTGAAATTTCATATATAAGCTTTTCTCGACCGTCCGGGAAAATTGCTAACTCTTGAAAGAAATCAGACATCAGCAACTGGACGTTTATTACGGGTCAAATAAACATTTTTGCGTATATAAAGAGAAATAATTGACCGATTTCATTGAAATTTAATATTTGAATTCCTCGTATTAAACCAATGACCATATAAATATAAATTTTTTCGAAAGATCAGGGCTCGAAAACTGATTTGCGGGCCGGTTTTACATTTTTCACCATATCTAAGAAACGAATTGATGGAATTTCTTGAAATTTAATATTTGAGTTCTGGTTAATTGGCGAGCATTTCAGGGAATTCGGGTAGCACAAAGCGAAACTCTACTAAGAGTCAAATTTACATTTTTCTAGGTATGTTAACTATAAGCTTACTAATGTCCTAAAAATTTGAAAAAAAGTATTTAAAAGACATTTTTATAATATTCTGTAACCTTTTCACTTACCTAGACAATATACAATGCGGTCGGTTACGTGCTGACCACATCAGATTTTTTTAATTATGTAAGCTTTCTATAGCGTGGTAAGTGCATTTTCATTAGCTGTCATAGGATGGAAAAAGTTTTTAATAATTCCCATATTCAAAAATAATTTCGAAACAAGTATAAAAACGAAATTTGTAATGTAACGTCAGTCTATCATGAGCTTTCATCGACGCTGCATTCTTAAGTAGTTCGCAAGCTAAAGAATGGTTCGCCACGGATTCGCCATTGATGAACAATTGATTCAATACTGGAAAAAACTTTTTATTTTTTTATTTAAATTAATTAACAAAGTTGTAACTATAATGTTAGCTCATTTATGAGGGAAAATTTAAAAATTGGGCCGTTTTCAGAAGAATCAATAATAGGTAAAGAAATAAATAAAAATGCACATTATTGCATTTTGTTCCCCTAGACCCATCCTGCTGCGGGGACGGTATCTAGGCTCTCTCACATTGTAAAAAAAAAAAACGTGGGTTAAAGCGGTTACAATCATCGGATTTTAAAAGTTTTTTTTAGTCTTTTTAGTATGTGTAAACAGGGCATTCCTAATAGGCCTGTGCATTTCCTTAGATCTATAATTTATATATCACGTTTATAATCAGTTAGGGCTAACTTGATAGCCACAAAAAGTAAAAGGATTTAAAATGATTAAATAGAAATGAAAAAAAAGTGTTTAAGAAGATATTCCACAAAGAGTTCTCAGACAAATTATATTAAGAAAATATGAAGGACAAAAGAAAAGAAGCAACCGTTGGCCAGACACTGTTTCGTGAAGCGTTCTTACATGTTTTAATAATTGCTTTTTTTCAAGTTTAATATGCCATTTCTTAAACAAAATTGTAGATGTTAATGAAGACTTAAATCTTTGTATTTTAAAGCTTTACTTTTGTAAAGTTAATATTTGATTCTCATTTTAAAAAAAAAATGATGTGATCAGCACATAACCGACCGCAATGTGTATTGTCCAGATTAGTAAAATTATTCCAGAGGATTGGCTTTTAGTAGAGTTTAATTTTTTACCTTCCGTATTATAGGAAAAGTTTGTCAGTAAGTTCTGGCAACAACTAGAACTCAAATATAAAATTTTGGAAAGGTACATCAATTCAGAAGTTACTTCAGTTCCCGAGCTCTGACGTTTCCAAAAAATAAAATTCAAATATTAAATTCAAATTAATGAGTGCAGTTAGATATTTGTCTTCATATACGAATGAAGCTTATATATGAAATTTCAAGTAAATCTGTTGAATATTTTCTTCAAAATGATTAAAAATATAAAACAGGCCCGTTATTACAGTTTCAAGGTCCAGTTCCCGAGAGCTATATCCTGAAAACCCTAAAAATGTAATTTTTTAATTTATAAGCATTTTTTAAATTTTGCAAACGCAGAAAGGCAGTGGCTTGCTTTTTCTATCGCGGCTATATTAAGCTAAACTTTAAAAAAACAAAATGGCCGTTCAAATTTACCGTTTTTTAAAATTCGTTTTTCCAAGTTTCTAATGTCCGTTAGCTTTTTTGCATTTATAGAAATTGAAAAAAACTTGCGGCTTTGGAAATATAACACGTCAAAATTCAAATTTTACAAATTTCAAGAGCCGATAACTTGCGAAGGGGTGGAGATTGAAAAAAAAATTTCTTCTAACGAAATAAACTATTTATTAGTTTCTAAAAGCTAAAATTTTACGCTCTATAACCCGGGATCTAGAAGAAAAACGACTTAAGAAATTTGAACAAAACGGATTTTAGGTAACGGCAATTTGAACGGACATTTTATTTTTTGAAAGTTTAACTACAGTATGCTGCGATAGGAGAAGCAAGCCACTGCCTTCCTGCGTTAGCAAAATTTAAAAAATGGCATTTTTAGGGTTTTGAAGGGGCATAACTCTTAGAGTGGGGGAGATAGGTAAAAATTTTCTTTTACGCAAATAAGTTTCTAGTAAGAATCTATATACATATTAAATTTAAGATTTCTATCTTTAAGGGTATAGAAGTTTTGTAAACACTTCCACGGGCGGATGAACGGACAGAGTGAAACTAATAAACACTTTTTTCAAAAATTTTTTGGAAAAGTGCTAAAAACGACTCAAGCTTTATAAAATAGTAAAAATTTAATTTTTTAATTCTAAATAATGTGTTATCTAAATATAATTTTACTTTAATTTAATCTTAAAATTTTAAAAAAGTTATACTATAAAAATTGAGTTATTTAGAGGACTACTCAATTTAATTGAAACATGAGTTTACTTTTAAATAAGAAGACAAATTAAAAGCCTTTTTTAGTAATAAATTATAGCTTCTATTAAAACTGAATGAAATAGAAAAACTATTAATTCTTAAAATTTTACCTAATTATAAACAAGAAACATTCAGTTCCAGATAACTGTACACGGAAATTTTTGGATGATAATAGCATCTTGATGAGCTTGGAAAATTGTTACAAAATAATTCACGAGTCTGCAGGTATCGGTAGTAACAAACACAACGACAAAAACAACAACCAGAGCGACAACATTAGTTACTTAGCTACATTTTTAAAGCAAAGTACTTTCGACAAAATTAAATACCGCCAAACTAAACTAAATCATAATCTATTTGATATTATATGGCCAGCAATAGAAAAATCACACAAGAGCAGAAAATTTGATGACTACATAAATTGTGATATTGTTGCTCCAGATTTTGATGTTTTCGTTGTATTTCAAGAATTTTTGATTCCGCTAATTAAAGACATGCATTGTTTAAATATAAACCAAGCGTTGAAACCACGTAATCGGTTATTCTATTTTCCAATAATAAATGGGCAAAGAAATGAGTTCATTAACTATGAAATAGATAGTTTTAACAAATACGTGTCGGAAGTTTCTGTGGAATGTTCACGAAATTTAGACAATTTCGAGTTACCTATTAATTTAAATATCTCTCAAATTGAACATGTTGAACGAGTGTTGCTTGAAAAAATATTGACAACAGAATTTGGAAAAGTTATCGGTGAACAAGAAGCTGGTACTTATTACACGATGAGCGAAATTCTGGGTAAATCATCAGATATCAAAAATATTATTAACAGCTCAAACTTAATGATGTCAATATACAACGAATGTTTTGCCTTAAACGATTCAATTTGGCCATATGGTCGTGGAGTTTTTATAAGTCATAAAGGTGATTTAGCCGCATGGATAAATGTGCAAGATCATTTAAGATTGACTGCTAGTACACCAAAAAAACAATTAACAAACGCTGGGTATGCTTACTCGAAAGTTGGCCGCGCTGTTGCGTATCTAGAAAATAAACTTCAATTTCGAGAAAATTATTTTTTGGGTTATCTATCTTCAAGGCCATCGTTTCTCGGAACATCTTTAAAAATATCAACTGTCTTGACACTTCCAAATTTAATGAAGGAAATCGAAAACTTGCGGCACTTATGTATTGTTCGTGGTCTTCGTATGCTACCTATGAACGAAAAAAAATTCCATTGCCGTGTTATTAACATGCGAAGCTTAGGATGTACAGAATGGCGATTATTTCAAGATTATTGCACAGCTATTTCAAATATCGTGAAGCTGGAAGATGATATGAATTTTACAAACTCAAAGCAAATTGCAGCAACATTGGTCAAAATATTTAGAAGAAAGAAGAATATAATATGCAACACCTAGCAGAAAAGTTAAATTGTGAATTACATTGCGAAAAATTCTAACAACAAGCGGTCGTAAAATAACTAAGATAGAAAAAAACAAATTATAACAAATAATCTTCTTCGTAAACGCTTTGATTTCATATGCACTTAATACCCCTATAATTTCTTTATTGTATTTGAAAAGAATATACATAAATGGAAAGAGTATAAAAATTTTATCATTATAGTTCTTATTATTCAAAGTATTATAAAAAAGAAACTTTATTGCAATTATGTTACAAATTTTACTTAAAGGTATTCACAATTTATATAATTCAATTAACCGTTTTATTTATTTAATGATGCTGTTATTAACACCTTAATTTCTCCTAAAGGTTCTTTTCTGATTACAAGTTTGTTGAATATTACTTGTTCGTATCGATGATCCAAGTCCCTGTACGTCCAGAATATGATTAAATATTTCTGCTACTTGACTCGTTTTTCTTATAACTTCGTGTTTATTTAACACTGTTGGTTTTTATTTTGTATCAGCTTGTTTTGGCTTGTAACAATTTTATCCCAGTCTATAGCGTCTGGTGTTCCTGCCAACCACTTTCGTGTTGTGTCAATCCAGTTTATTGACCGTTGAAGTCTTGATTTGCTGTTTCTTAGTTTAGTAAGAAATTCCATTAGTTGTGCCAGTTGGAGTTCAAGTTGTGGTTTTATTATGCAAGTCTAATTGATTCCCAAGGGATGATGCTGCATAACTTCGTCATAGTTTGTTAGAGCAATGATCATATGTGCACCAAATTGAGTTTCCTTCCAAGATTTGACCTTGTTCTTGTTTAATGGTTGCAATTGCGTCTCTAAATCTGAAAATTCTTTTAAATGCTGTAATTCAAGGGACTGATAGTTTAAAAAGAAATCTAAAGTTTGGATTATTGGCGGAAACGCCGATAATTGTTTCCTTATTATCCTTTGATTCAATCTCCTTTCTATAAATTAGTTCGGTCGCCTTGATTTGCTTGCCTCAAACATAAATTGTTTGGCCTATGATATATTGTTTTGGGTATTGAGAGATCTGGAAACATACGTTATTTGCCTATCTTTTCCAATTTCGCTTAATAGCACTGCTTCAAGAGTCGGTTCTTAGAATGAAGGGCTTCTCGAAATTCGGAAATATCAGGACTTATGAAGATGTATGTGGTTATTTTAGTCTGTTGAATAAATTTAATATTCAATTTCATTTTAGCTTTCTTAGATGGATTTGGCTTTATTTGAGCATTTTCGCTTCTTGTTAAGCTCACCAGCGGTTTTGCTAATTTTGCGAAATCTGGAATAAATCTGTGGTACTATGATGTGAGTCCCAAAAATGAGTTTTAATATTTTAGATTTGTCGGTGACTTGATACTCTGAATCCCATCACCTTTTCTGAGATCAAGTTTGATTCATTCGCTTGTGATCATATATGCAAGAAATTATTTTTCCAGTCTGCTGAAAACGGTTTGGAATTTGTATTTTCCATTCATTGTTTTTCCATCGTGATTTTATGTAATCCAAATGTCAGATCTATTGTTGTTAAAAATTTGGCTTCGTCTGGGCTTGGCAGAGTATTCGTAATGTCTGGTATGGGATATGTGAAGGGCGAATAATTCCATTATCTAACAGCTTTTTAATTTTTTCTTCTACTTCCCTCCTAACGTTGGCTTGTCAGTATTTGTTTTAATTTCTGCTTTCATCTATGTATCTATTATTCCCCTGTCATTTATTGGATCAAATATTTTTTCGTGTCTCCTCTCAACGGAATTTTTATATTTGATTCTTGACGTATTGTTGCTCCTTTCTTTTATGGCTTCAAGTTTTTTTAGTGTGGCATCTCCAATTATGCCATTAAAGCTTTTCAATCCTTTATTGACAAATTCAATGAAAATGTTGTTTCCCAAACGCTGAAAAAATATTCCTACAACTTTCTTGATAATTGATTTTCTTACGGAATTTTGGTTCCCGCGTTTACGAGAAATTTGAGGATCTTTTTGTCCTTGGTTTTGAATTCAAGGTATGGAACGCTAGAAAGACGTCCGTCATAAAATTTATTTCCTGCACCTCTTCTTCTTCGTATTTTGGTTCTTCATCATTTTCTTTGTTACATTCACAAGAAAAATCTTCTGTGTCGTTTTCGAGCGTGTCCATGTTGAGTAATCTTTGATCCTTGTTATTCGGCAGATTGTCTACCGATAATGGTCTCTTGTATGCTTCATTGTAATTACCAAGTCGGTTCATATAATTGACTTATCGTGTTCGTATAGACCGAACCACGTCTATTTTTTCTGCTGGTTTCGGCGGCTTAGGTGGAGGTTGCATTACATTTTGATATTGTACATCGTAGCGTTGATTTCGCTGCATGCATTTTCTGTATATGGGTTTAATTTGTAACACCTCGTAGTGTCGTATTATTCTGCACTATGCACCCATGACACATACTGTACTGCATCACCACCGAAGGTATGGAAGTCCCTTACGCAGTCTTTCAGGTCGCTTTTTGGTACTGTCACATTCCTTGCCTGTGGCTCTGACGTGCTTTGCCGAGCTTCTAGTTTATATATACAAATCTCAATTTTTTTACTCTGTTCATTTTGAGGGTTGACTGCTCCAGTTAGTCTTTTAAGTTCTTCCATTATTTATTCCATTTTTATAATTTTGTTTAAATTTTTTAATTTTTTAATTTTTTGTTTAAATTTTTTAGTTTAATTAAACTTTTTGTAATTATAATTTTTATTATTTTTCTTTAATTTAATTTGGAATAGTTTTATTACTTTTGGTTTATTTATTTTTTTTTTTAAATTTAATGGTAAAATTTAAATATTAATAAATTACTTTTAATATAATAAAAAGGAAGTTCTCAAATTTTTGGAACTCATTTAATCAGATGCGCTAATTTCCCTCAGGTAAGTTTTTTTTAAATTTAAATACAATATGAAAAACAACTTACAGGAAAGAAACGTAGTTCATCTCGAGTCCTGGTGAGTAATTAAAGTAGCGGTTGAGTTGCTTTCATACTCGTGAATGTTCTACTACGGTACAATCTTTAACACTTTTTTCTTTTTAAATCTTCAGTTCCTTTTTTATATTCCTTTGGATTACCACAATGGTCGTTCTTATATAATAGCGGGTGAACCGGGATTTGCTTCTTTTTCTTTTTAACTTTTTTGGAATTTCCAAATTTAATACAACAGTTATTAAACTGCATTAACTTGAATTATAAAAAAGCATCTTTATTACAATTATGTTGCGAATTTCATTTAAAGATATTCACAATTTATATAACTCAATTAACAGTTCATTGCTACTGTTATTAACAACTTAATTTGGACTGATTGATATCTTAAAATCTAACAGAATACTAATTAAAATTAACTTCATTTCCGGTTTCGTGCAGAATTGTATACGTTTCGTCATCGCTTTTGAAGGAAACGATAATTTCAAAATTCTGGAATTCGCTGTGTCTAGACGCTGTCAGCATTTTCGGTGTGAATAATAATTTTACAATTTTTTCATGTTTAAACATGTTTGATTGCAGAGGCTATGTCAGAAATTTTCATGTAAGCAGAAATAAGTATCATATTAAAAATGTAAAAATGTAATTTGATACCTCTTGAATATGTTACTTGACGTGGCAATAACTCTTCCCTTTCAAAGATCTGCGCCCAGTAGATCAAAATGAAATTTTGGTGCTTCTGTGACTGAAATTTGCAGAATCTCTATAGTTGGAACTACTGTTGGAGTGCATATCTCCACTGTTTTGCGAATTTTTCTCTTGATAATCAAAATGATGATGACCGTAATGATGAAGAACCCTATGGTAACATCGGATGCTATGTTGCCTTTTTGGTATTAACTTCTGAAGTTGTTCTGTGTTGTGGATATGAAGATCGTAAGAATAGTCAAGGCTTAGCTTGATATTTCCTTCTTTTAGATTTCCCTGAAACACACCTGGTAAGACATATGTCTGATATAAATGTCTGATCTTTTATTTAAACGCTTTCGTTGATATGCTATACCATAAAGCTTCCAGTTCAGTGTTTGCTCATGTTACCACTTGTTAGCTCCCCATTGAAGTTATCGAGGAAGATGATATTTTTGCTAATGCTTTAAATGATTTCTTCTTTATTAAATTGAAAACCTGCACCTGGCGTTTATTCCTTTTAGTAATTGATATATACAGTTTTCTTGGTCCAGCTTTAGAATCTCACTTCTTTCGCATATGGTGATGTGTCTTTCCTCGCATTTTGCCAATATGCCATATACGTTCTCTTTGATAAGAGTTTCTCGATATTTGACATAGATTTGCTGGGAGTTTCGGGTGGTGATCTTGCTATTATGTAGTCATAGTGTATCTTCGGTAATAATAATAAAGAATTGGTGCGCAACAATTGGTTACTATCTGTGGTTTAGCGTAATCTGCTGCTACAATTTCGTGGTCGTAGCGTAGTGGATCGATTTTTTTCAGTTTGTTTTGCATTTCAACCCTGCTTAGAAGATTAGTGTTGACAATTCCTTTTTTTGCTAATTTTGTCACACTAGCAAAATTTCTTTTTTGATTCCAAGTTTGTTAAATATTACTTATTCGGATCAATGATCCAAGTCCCCTATACGTTTCAGTTTATGGTTAAAACTTTCTGGTACTTGACTTTTTATTCCTATAACTTCGCGATTTATTTTATATTATTGGTTCTATATATATATTATTATTGGTTCCTTCCAGCGATTTCCATGATGAACCAATAAGGTATATAATGGCATTTGCTTCCATTGCATTCCATTTATTTGTAGTTGCCAGCACGGTTTTCTTGTGAAGAAATCAACGGTGACTAATCTGATGAAAACTGACTCTGTTTTACTCCACGACGTAATTTTGTTAAAGTTGAGTTTATTAGAATTTCTTAATAGTTTGGTAAGTTTGATTGGCTCTTATCTTTCTGGAAGGAAATACAGAATCCTTTTGCGTCCATCGGATTTCAGTGTTCATCGTATTTTTGTTATTTAACTTACCAAACTATGTATTAATTTAGGCTGATAATATGAAAATTTTCAAGAGAATTCGTTCAATAAATGACACAGTCTGTAGAGACAGGGAGATCTGGATAACTTTTACAGGTGGTG